AGGGAGGAAATTCATCAGATGATCAAACCATTCAAAATAGTGTGCCCTCAAAAGATGAGCGCCATCAAACCAGTGATACTAATACTAATTGTGATGTACTGCCAAACAATGCCAATGTTGATAGTGGTGATAAAATGAGGGTCGAAGAAAATGATGTGGAGGAAGAAGAGGAGGAGGAAGAAGAGGGAGAAGAAGAAGATGATGAAGAGGAGGATCATCACCATGATCGTCTAGATCCAGTGGAAAACGTTGAAAATATCAGTCAGTGGGTCACCAACGAACTTAATGGCCATCCTAGAGCGTTGGATTTCAACAACAACAGCGGCAGTGGTCATCAAAATGGTCATGTTGAAGAGGAGGGCAGAGGATTGGAGGATATCGATGATGATGATAATGGCCTTACCAGGGAAAGCATAACAAAAAGTGAACAAGCATTGAGACGTGAAAGTGATGATCTGGAAAATGAAGACGATGNAAGCTTGGAGGATATCGATGATGATGATAATGGCTTTACCAGGGAAAGCATAACAAAAAATGAACAAGCATTGAGACGTGAAAGTGATGATCTGGAAAATGAAGACGATGATGAGGAAGAAGAGGAGGTGGAAGATGAAATGATGGACGCCGAAGAGGGCAGAGACTCGGAGACCGATGGTGGTAACAGTAAAGTGCCGCCTGAGGTGTCGAATGGTAACAACTCCGATGACAGCAAGTCAGTGGACTCCTTCAAATCACTTTGAAGTCACTCACTCTCTTTGCTTTTGTCTCTAACTAGCCAGCCTGACCAACCACTGTGATCTTGTTGAGTTTATTGTTTGATTTCCATCACTTTTCCTCTCTCTCTCCCTTTCTCGCACTCCTTCTCTCACCCTTCGTCAACATTGTCATCACCATCATCATCAGCATCAACATCAGCTAACCACTACTCCCACCACCTAACAACTACTACTCTGTCTCTAGTCTGATCGCCTTTTAATCTTCTAATCGTTTATCTCTTGGTCCACTCTCTCTTTTAGCTACTACCAAAGTTCCTACTACAGCGGCAGCAATCCCTCCTCTGCTCGGGCCAGTCTCTCCCGCTATGGTCTGGACGACAACAACAACACCAACAACAGCAGCTCAACCTACTCCAAGTCACGGAATGCAAACACCCGAAAGTACTCGTCGCGAGGGGACGATGAGGGCGATTTTGCTAGCAGTGCTGCTTCAGCTTCTGCTTCTGCCGTGCCCAGCTCACCCTCCTACTACAGCAGCTCTGCCTACAGCCGGCGACCTAGCCTGAGTCGGACGTCGACGCTGGACGACGATGATGAGGAAAGCTCAGCTGCGGGAGTTCGCTCCTACTACAACGCTCGAAAGCAGGCGCAGCAGCAGCAGGCGGCCGCCCTGGCTGCCCTCAATGCTCAATCTGCCGCCGACAGCAGCAGCTCACGGTACGGCGGCTCATCCTCATACTTTCGCAACCGACTGGCCAAGAGTAGAAGTTCTCATGCTATTGGTAAGTGTTTTGTTATGTGGAAAACTCATTTTTAAACCTTTCCTTTCTCGCAAAACAGCAGCCTACGGCGACGACAGCGACGATGACAGTCCGGCGAATGCCAGCAACCCACTGTCGCCTACCTCCACTTCCAGTGGCTACCGAAGTCGCTTTGGATTTGGCTCTTCGTCTATTGCTGCTGCAGCAAATGCTGCCACCGCTGCTGCAGATCCGAACGATCCGTTTGCCAGTTCAGCCTCCGCCGGTCGGAGGACGTCTCGCTCTGGCTACACCTACCGAACGCGCCTTCCCAGTCGAGAGCCCAGTCCTGAGGAGGAGGCCGCTGGTAAGACCTTTTGTTGAAGATGATTTTGCTTTGTGAAATACTTAAAAATTTGCTTTTATTTATAGGCTCAGTGACGCAGTACCTGATCAACAAGTACGGCACTCGCTCCAGTGCAGCCACCGCCACCAATCGTCCATCGATGCTGAGCAAGTCCAAGAGCTCGCACGTCATCTACGGGCGCAGTCTGTCCAGCTCTGATGAGGACAATGGCGTCACAAGCACAGCTGTGGCCAGCTCGCCTTACAGTCGCCGTACCAGTCGTGATTCGGAGAGCGGCACCTCTTCTTACAGGCCGTCCACTTTTGGTCTGCAATTTGCACGCACGACGCCGGCCACCGCCCAGTGCTACCTGCAGAAGCGGCGGATGGTGATGAAGATTGGCTCACGCGGAACTAATCCCGCCTGCTTCACCTGGCCCCGCGGTGTGGCCTGCGCCCCGGACAACTCTCTGGTGGTGGCCGACTCCTCCAATCACCGAGTGCAGGTTTTCGATTTTTCAGGGCGGTTTCAGTTTGAGTTTGGCTCATACGGCTCCGGTGAGGGCGAGTTTGACTGTCTGGCCGGTGTGGCGGTCAACCGAATGGGCCACTTTATCGTCTCTGACCGGTACAACCACAGAGTGCAGGTTTTTGATGGCAGTGGCCGCTTTCTGCGTGCCTTTGGCTCGGAGGGCCGCTCCGATGGAAAGTTTTCCTATCCCTGGGGCGTCGCCTGTGACGCGCTGGGCTTTATCTACCTGTGTGACAAGGAGAACCACCGGTAAGGACCACTGCTGGTTTATTATGTGTGATAGTGTCAATGAGGGCTCACTCTTTCTTCTGTTGCCGTAGAATTCAAGTGTTCCAATCTGACGGCACCTTTGTGGGCAAGTTTGGCAGCATTGGCAGTCGAAGTGGCATGCTCGAGCATCCGCACTACATTGCCGTGAGCAGCAACAATCGCATCATTGTCAGCGACAGCAACAACCACCGAATTCAAATCTTTGACGTCAACGGGCGATCAATGTCCACTTTTGGCTCAGAGGGTACTGCACAGTTTGAAATTTGGTAGTGGAGGTTTTTTCTAATGACTTTAAATGCTCCCTTTAATTGCAGGCTCAGCAGAGGGGCAGTTCAAGTTTCCACGCGGCGTTGCCGTCGACGAGAATGGCTTCATTATTGTGGGCGACTCGGGCAACAATCGCATTCAAGTATTCAATCCGGATGGAACTTTTCTCAAAGTAAGATACGTTTTTATTCAGTATTTATCTTCTTTACTTACGCACTTTTACCCCCTAAATTCTACTAGGCATTCGGTCAATGGGGCAGTGGCGAAGGAGAGTTTAAAGGCCTGGAGGGCGTGGCGATTGACTCCCATTCTCGAATTTTAGTTTGCGATCGTGAGAACCACCGAATTCAAGTATTCTAAGGGCGACACGAGTAGCAGCTGCTTTACTGCTAACTACACACTCAGCCAAGAGCACACAACAAGACTTTTCCGTAGTATTTCTTTCCTCTTTCCGGTGGTGGTTCATCCTGCCTGTTTGAACAACGCTTGCTCACATGTTCACCTCATCATCAATTGCCATTAATCTCTTTCTCTCTATTTTGAGATTCTCATCATTCTCTGGCCAATTCTTTCAGCTCTCACTCATTTTCTATGGCATCTCTTTTATTTGATACTTGATTTGCCAAGTATCTTGTTTTTAGTCATTGTAATGTTCCTTTTCTACTACTTATTTAACGAAAGAATCATTTGTGGTCACATCACTTTACCTGCTCATGATAGGCTGTTTTTCAAAGTACTAGTTTGCACTGAACACTGTAGCTTCTTGTTCTTTTGAATTGTTCTTCTAGTCCTCCTATTTATCCACTATCACTTCTGTCTCTTCGGTCGCAACACTGAAGCACTGACACACTGACACAACCGATATGTGATACAACACCACAATGCACCTAAAACTGATTGTGATCAACTAGACTCTACTACTACTTTTATCCACTAAAACACTTTAAAACCGAAAAACAAAAAACAAAGTTTTGTTTGATAGCATATACTTTTCTAATTGCAATTTACGACTCAATGGTCATTTGTGTGTTGGTGCTTTTTAAGTAACACAAATAAAATTAATTTTTAATTTAAATTTTTAATTAAAACAGATTATTCATAAGCATTTGAAATCTCGGAATCTCTTTGTCATTCAAACTGTTTGATTTACCGACAATTGTGTCATTAGCATTAGCATTTATAAAGTCGATAGGCTTAACATCATGACTCGTCTAGTCAGGTGCTCAATGTTTCCGATTAAGATGTCAATCGCAATGGCACTGTCAACTGTTAATGTACTACTATGCGGCAGACACTACCGTTTGAAGTTCACTTCTAAAATCACTGGGCACTGTTAGTTCTCTGACTGATAGTAAAAAAATGGAAAAGAAAGCGGCGCTAATCTCTGCGGGCTAGTCAGTGGTGGTGGTACTGTTCAGCAGCAGTCAGGTAAACTGTCCCCTTCCTTTGTGAGCTTGGGGAGCTCACAGGGTGCACGGGGCATTGTGCAAATGCGACAGACAATGGCACAGCCAAAGTGAGAGAGAGAAGGAAAGGGCTCCAGCACAGTGTCTGCCAGTCCTGGCCATTGTCTCTTTCTCAGCACTGGCTAACTGTTGCGGGAGCCGCATTTCCCTGCCATTTGGCCATTCTCTTCCATTTTTTTGAGTTACCACCACGTGGTGGTTTGCCCAGAGAGTTCTCTCAATCTCTCGCCCAGTGGCAGTCCATTATCAATGCAAATTGCCTTTCTTCGCTTCACTCCACACTGCTTTGTTTGCTGCTGCTGCTTCGGCACATCACACAGCCAATTCAGAGGCAGCAGCAGCCATCTTCGTCGCCGCCGTCTCGTCATCTCTTCGGCTAGTCCACCAATTACAGGGTAAAATATGGTTCAGTGTCTGCTTCGCTTTTAGTAATCGTGTCCGTCCTAATCGGTTGGCAAGGAAAGAGAGGGCAAAAACGTAAACCAATTTGCCTCGCTCCCGATAGGAACTTTGCCTATCAGTGATTAGGATAGTTACTGCTGCACAGCAGCTAATCGCATTACAGCATTTTGCTTAACTTTTGCTTTTAAAGACTTTATGTGTTTTCATATGTTTTCATCCTGTCTCCAGGTGTAGTAGTGTGCCGGCATTGCTGTGTGTTTGTGTGTCGGCACAAGAGCTACCGCCACTTGAGAGAAGTCGGCTGTAGTCGATGACATCCGTAAATCAAGATTGTAATTCATCAGTCTAGTCATCAGACTAGCACAACTACACCAAACTTGAGCTTTTTATATTGAGATAATAATGATAATAACAACTTGAATTGATTTAACTGGATTAGCCGACAGTGGTTCATTCATTCAGTCATTCAGTCATTCAATTATGTCCACTTGAGAATGAGAGAGATTAGCTGACTGTAATCCTTTTTCAAACGAAGCCGAGGCTGATGACAATCTTTCTGCCGACTGTAGTTGTTGGACGACAGCTTATATTTTTATTAACCAAATTGTAGCTCAAAGTTACTTCTCAATTTGTTCAAATGATTTTGGCCAGTCAGTTGCGTGTGCTTGGAATAGGCAAATTGAAATAGAAATGTACTATGTGATTGCCGCTAGATTGAGTCATTGCAAAGCTTCACTCTTAATTACAGTTTATATTACTTTTCTAGACCTTGCAAAACGCTTGCACCCATCTGTCGGGTCTAATTTCCTACAACAGTTGCCCCGGTGCTGAAACCTTGGCTTTTGTGACACTCAATTCAGTTAGCGATAGTTGTATTTTTGTTTGCCCTAATTACATTTTTGCTGCCAATAATGTTTACTCTATTTTTTCACTCCATTATTTATTGCCCTATGGCCAGTGCTGCCAATTTGTCCATAAAATGCTGACCGGCCCAATTGGAACTGCTGCTGTTGCTGCTGCTGCTGCACCATTAAAATGATCGATTGCACCAGCTTGGCTGACCAAGTGTTCAGAACTTAGCACCGTTTCAATCTCGGTGTAAATTGAGTACAGCCGTAAGGCTAATGGTGGCTAATTGATGGCAATGCACCAGATCCTGGTTTCTTTTTGCATTTATTATTTGCTTTTTATTTTCTGTGTATTACACATTCTAGCCTAATTTGTAATTCAATATTTGTTCTGCTAAATGTGCAGCTGGCTTAATGGTAAAATCATAATTAAATTGTCTACATTTACTTTGCCTGAAAATCTTCCAAATGCTTTCAGGTTATCAACTGCATTAATCACTCAATTAGATGCACACTTAAAAGTCTGGTAAAAAGCATTTAAAACCATTGTCACCATTTACAGGTATTTAAAGTAGAGGCGATTGCTGATAGAGAAAGGCATTTAAATCTATCTGGACTCAAAAACTTATTTCCTGCAGGCTAATGAGTCGATGGAGCAAATCTAAATCTAAAAATCTCGCCACCTTTCTTTGATGAGTTCACCTACTAATTGAGCACTTTCTGCGCAGAGATCAGATTACATTGTTTTGCAGAAAGTTGAGACCAACTGAAGGCCCGCTCAGTCTAGCTCACGTTCCACTGCACTGATCCATTTGAGATTCATTGCACAATTGAACGTGTGTGTGTACCTGGAGGTGTAAAGTGCTGGAGGTGTTGTTTTTGTTCAAGCCATGCTTGTTGTTCCTGTGTGTTTTGCCCACCAAGTACTTCCACAAAACACACACACACAAGAGCTTTGTGTAAGAGGTCAGAAAGGTCAAATGTGGAAAGAAAAGAGAAGGAGGCAGTTCATTTGTGGCCGGTCTCTCCACAATTGGCCTTCTTGCCACCTTGACTGGTCCGGTGATTGAGGCACCAGTGGTGATTGTCTGCCGCTGAAGAGCAGACACTGCTGCAGCCATTGTTCCTAGGTGTCAATCGTTGTCACTGCGATGAGCACCTTTCACAGCAGCAACAGCAGCAGCAGTGTTTAGGTAACTCGAAACCTTGCCACCGGAGTGCAAAAGAGAGTTTTACCTTGGTAAAAGTCCATTCGACCATCGTCTAGACAGTGCCTGGGAATGCCGACGCAAAAAACATTGCAGCGGAGACAGTGCAGCAGCAGTTGTAGTGAATTACCGGGCCAATTATCTTTGGCCCTCGAGCAGTCTTGACTTGACTCGTTTTAATTTACAGCAATCCTAAATGTTTGTGTTGAAAAACAATCATCTTTATATTGGCTACTGGCTTTTGTTGATTTGCAAAAGTTTTTTAGTTGTGCCAAAACAATTCAAACAATTTTTACCAGCAGTTTGGTGGTGATGAATAACAAAACGATGTGTTTTACCTAGAGTCAAGCGTTTTCACTTGTAAAAATGTCAATTATTTTGATAACACACATTCAATGTGTTAGGTTGAAGTTGTGTGACAATCTCAAGTGCTAAGACAGCAGCAACTTGGAACAGATTTTTAGCTCTCAAGTGTTATAGCTCTTACTCACTACTCTTCTCAATGAACCACCGATGACAATGGTACAAGCACCGATTGATGGTTAAACGTTTTAGTTTTGTCATAAAATGAATACAAAGCGCATTGTGCGAGATGATTTAACAGTAGTAAGAGACATTGATTGTGTAATGGTGCCAATTGGAACTATATGCTGACTGGTTTCGGTTCAGCTGGTGCACTGAGCAACTTCCACTGCGACCACCTACTGTGACTTGGAACTGTTTTTCAACAAACACGTACTAGTGAGCAGGAGGTAAAACGAACCAATTAATGCATCATCATTGTCCGATTCGAAGCTCAAAGAAATGATGCATGATGAAAAATGGATAAAGCTCCCTGCTTTATCAATTATTTTATAACTTTGTAATTCTAAATACTAAAACGTTTTTTCGTAATTTAATCATTTTCTAAACCTGCCATTGTCGATTTTACTTGTAAGACTGCTTTTGCAAAGGTTTGACCAAATGCTCTGGGCAAAATGTGCGTTTTTTTCTGTTTGCTGTTCTACATTGATCAAATTGTGCTTTTATTTGACCAAGTTATATAACATAATTTGAGGTTGGTGCTCCAGTCAGTACAACAGTTTAACGTTGCACTCACATTTCAGTGATCAAGTCAATAATCCGCAATGTAAATGGTATTAGAAAGACATGTTTGGCAGTCGTAAGTGGAAACCACAATCAAGAGTAGCAAAACTCGGTGAAACAAAACACCGATTGGAAAACTGAAGAACACTACTTGAAGTAGCACATGAGAAGTGACGCACTCAGACATTGAGTAAAATAAAATTTAGTTTGAACTTAAATTTACAATACATTGAAACCTATAGATTTACCAGAACGAGGCTGAAGCAAGCAACAACCTCAGCAAAAGCACGCACACTGTCCTCTTCACCGACTTGTCATCATCAATGACTAATTTCCTTCAGAGCTTTACC